ACTTTGTGAAAATGTAAATTTTGCAACAAGCATATGTTACCAAGTTTGTATGATTTCTATAATTGTTGAATGGTCTGGCTCAGGTTGAACCCTTTGTCTGAATCAAGAGTCAGAGTACGGCGGCCCATGACTTAGCTATCCTGGGGGGAAAAAATGCAAATGGGCCACTGCTGCAGGAGGGTCCTGTTTCGGGGCTGATAAATTACCTGGCATCAGATCACAGTGTGCTTATTGATACATGAGTCATTTCCAATACTGGTACTGGAACAACTCTATTTTATATTCTGCACTGGTGATTCAGAAGTTGAGAAAAGACAAAAATTACTAAATTCCATTTTAAAAGATTTGAAGTGATGAAGTTACAAATGACAGGTCACTGGGTCAGTCAATTGATTAGTCGATCAACCGAAAATAAATCAGCAACTATTTTGATCATCAATTAATTTCTAGACATAATTTTAAACGGTTAACATGAAAATCGTTCCAGTAATTTTTAAGGGCAAAACTGACAAACAATCTCTGGTTCCAGCTTCTCCAATGTGAGGATTATTGTAAACTGAATACATCTGAGTGATTAACTTAGAAAATGATCGGTAGATTGATCAATAAAAATAATCATTGCAGCCCAATGGGTAACAAAATGCATTTTGGAATTAAAGGTCCTGTGTGTGACATTTAAACAGATCTATTGGCAGAAATAGAATATAATATTCATAGGTATCTTTCCACCACCTGAAAATAAGAATCGTTTTCATTACCTTAGAATGAGCTGTTTTTATCTACAGGCGCTGTGGGCCGCCTTCCATGGAGGCCACCATGTTGAAGTGCCATGTTTCTACAGTAGCCCAGAAGGGATAAACCAAACACTTGCTTTGTGCATTACATGGCCACCGTAGTTTCCCCCTCACAGTTGGAAAGAGAGGGTGAAACGAATGAGTTGTAATCTGCAAAGTTGCAATTATAACATCTAATTATTGTTTTTACTTACTGAAGGTGTCTGAAGCATGATCCGTATAAACTCTGCTCCTGTAGTTCCTGTGTCTGTGCCTTGGATTTACAGTGTGTCAGGGGCCCAATACAAATCTGAGAATGGACCATTTCTACTCCCATCTTCTTTCAGTTCAGTTTGCAAATAATGCCAACTAACTAACACTATAGCTCCTGGCTTATGCCTACATGGGACAATATATTAGAGGTGTGGCAAGAGGCTTGACTCTGCTGTTTGTCAAAGTGGGCCAAGGCAGCACAAATGGAAAACTACAACGTCAGAGCTCTTTTGGGGAGGATCAGCATGGAGTATTAACAGAATCAGCAGAGATTGCTTGCTTGCTACAAGGTTGGAAACCAGCTGCTTTCCTCCAGCTGAGATTTCCTCCAAATAACAGTAAGGAGCAGGGCTTCATTTAAAAAGAATATTGGGAACCCACGTCTACTACTAAAATGTCTATAAACACTAGACCTATGTTATATATTTTGTTGAGTTGTGTACTTATATTATCCCAAATGTTTCCAACAATGTTCAAACCTAGAGCAATCTGGAATTTTATTCAGTTAAAGGTGCATTTCGCTGGCTGTCAGTGGCATCATATCCCCTTTGTTATCGTTAGAGACTTTAGCGGTAGAAACTACATATTGTATGTTTAATGTACATAAAGTTTGGCATACTGAAATCAACTGAAATTTCACGTTTCTGTTTGTGACAGAGAATTCAAGGTCATACCAAGAATGTGAAATAAATGTGTGTGTTCTTGGTAAGAAGTCAAACGTTCTTTATTTTGCATGTATTGAGCAAATATTAGTTCACAAGAAAACCACCAATTCAAGAGGCCGTTATCAATGTGTACAACCAGGACAATATGAAAGAGCTGCTCAGATAGGTAGGTAAGAACTCTCTGGCATGACTTTCTCCCATGTGGGATTGTTATCACTGGCTGAGACGCTGTGTGAGACGCTGGGCGTTGGCCCAGTTTGTGCTGTTGCCAAATAAAAAATAAAAACAAATATCTGAGATATAAAAAATGGTGTTCATATCTGACAGATTTATCTTCTTTGCATTAAGTTACAAAGCCAACAAACCAAAACTCTAGGGCTGCTCTGGGCCACTCTAGCCCACAGAGAAAATGCACCAGACCTCATAAACAATTGTACAGTAAACTAGCAAATCATCAGCTTAAAGTACTGTAAAACTCTAAAACAATACAGGTGTCACTGTGTACTATATGCCTGTGGTTTTAGGAAGTCCATGTACTTGCATGTAACTTATGTTGATCCCATAGACCCTCCCCTCCCCCACTAACAGCGTTGTGTAAAGCTGCTGGATAACCTGCTGTAGAACTTGGATCTGTATTAGCTGGTCCAGGAGATTTCAACCGTTACGTAATCCTGAGTTTGCAGTCTGAGGATGAGTCTGCACGCTGGTGCCAGTGAGCTAGTGTCTAACTGTCTCACCAAAGGGTGTGTTTACAGTGTCATACGCATATGTTACCTTATGCACAATAGTACGAGCACTCACACACAAAGCCACTCAGTTCAGTCGAGGGTGTGTAACTCTATTCCCCGACACTGCTGTCTGTATGTACAACAGTGGAAAAGGCAAGCAGCTAAATAAGCCCAAGAAGTGTTGTAAGTAAGACCTAGCTATTACAGAATAATATGTCATTCAGGAAGCACCCAGATATAATCCAGTTAGTAACACACCCACCAGCCCTAGTTACTGCATGCAATTTCTAGTGGGACTTTAAAATAGTCGGGCTTGTAAGATACTATCACTCACTGGTTTAGTTCATTCTGCATCTGGTGGCCCACATCAAGGCACAATTTATCTATTCAGGAAACAGAAGACTCATTTTCTTGAGTGATAATTTTTTCAGCCTTTTAAGTGCTTATCTTGAGTCATGCTTGTTTTAACCAGCCAGACAAATGGCTCTAGGAAGTTTGTATTGCATAGCACTTAACAACAAGCACACACTGAACCACACAAAACCATGCACCTTGATTGCATCTCTATATGTACACTTATTGTATTCAAAATATGTTTTCACTAAAGCTTACAAAAGGCAGTCACGGCCTTAAGGCAGTGTGATGTTGCCAATAGTGACAATTTTTAGCACTGGTGGTATAACAAATGCATCCCTAATAACAAATGATGAAAGGCCTAAAAGGTACAGTGCAGAGTTTGTGACCACGAGTGCAGCTACAGACTAATGTTTTGATGAGCGGGTCCGGAGGTTCTCAAGGAAGATATTTTGGTGTTAGCGGTGGATTATTTGTCCTATCTGGATGGGTCTGCATCATATGAGTCTCTTGAATGAAAAGGATGCTTGTTTTTACCCACTTGCTGAATATGGCCTGCCTCATTCGTAAGGGAAAACATGTTTACTAGTTAATAAGACATGCACAGTGATACAATGAATGCTAAATAAAATAGACTGTACAATGAACTGCTCTTTCCTTTGTTTGCATCTAAGCCTTTCCTTGACAGCCTGATGAAATGTGAAAGTGAAACCAGAGTGCAGCGGCACTGCAGGCAGACTTCAATTACTGAGGAGCCAGGCTACATCTTCATCTCTGGCCTCACCAGTTGTGAGAAGAAGAGCAGCCTAGGAAACATCAAGCCTGGGGTGGACTTGGGGTTAACGTGGTCAGAAATGATTAGCATCATCATGCTGTTAACATTGCAGCAACCAAGACTTTGTAAATTTAACTGTATGACCATCAAGATGAACCTCTAGATTGCACAGGGAAATAATGATTTATTTTCTTCATTTAGCAAAATAATAACAATAAATGTTGGCATTTATTTGATTAGGTTGTGGAGTTGTCACATTTCATTTAGCACTGAATAAAATATCTCCACAGTCATATGTATGATAGACTATGCATTAAATTAAGGGCAGAGGGAATATTATAAATCTACTGATCTACTATCACCCAATATTTACAACCCCACTCTGACACTTGAAAAATAATTTCTTCAATAAACATTTTAAATGGCCTCTCATTAACTATAACTACCTCTCCCACATCTCCTATACTGTGGCTTTGAATTATGCATCCTTTCTTAGTTGCTTGTCTGTAATGCTGGCATTTAGAAATGCATTATTCCATTGTTTCTGTTCAATGTAAGCCACAATGGAGAAGATATCTGGTTATATATAAAAATCAAATTTCATATATATTATCCAACAAATATATTACAAGACAAAAAAGGAAACACACTTTGTAATGACTGCTGAAATGATACCCTGATGCCAAATTTAAGACGGGTATATCTATTGGTTTCATCCATCTAAAAGCAGGGCTTAAGAACTGAGACAATAGGCTGGACTGCTCTTGGACTGAATAAGTAACATGAGACTTGGAAGGAAGAGACTTATCTCCTCAACACATCGAGTACCATTAGAACCTGACCTTCAAGACTAGTCAATGAGCTATGATACTTCTGAAACAAAAAGCAGATGATTAGCCAGAATAAGTCGGATGCAACACTACTTTTTAGAATAAAGCAAATTTACTATATCATAATAATGATAATAATAATAGGAATAAGCAGTTACAAAAATCCAAATCCCATTGTTCATTCTCACTGCATTATTCACAGACTCTGCAGCCATTGTTATCAGACCAAGGCAAAACCTCCAGACATTTATAAAAAGTGTGGAGACCCTCAGGGATGCTATCCATTCTGCAGATCACACAGAATTATGTCAAATCCAAGAGAGAAAAAGCACAATACAAATACTCACTGGTTGACATACATAATCCTCATTAGTATAATACACAACACTCAATGACATTTTGACACCACGTCATACAGTGAACAATTACTCTATTATTTGGAATTCAGTTGTGATTGCTTTTCAATTCACTGGCTTGTTTGTATTATATTATTGGTAGGAAGATATGATGTTCTTACAACATGCCAGATGTTCTCTCCAAATATCTATATGCCTTTTATACATGTTTGAATAATGTGAAATGAAATGACATATACACCAAAGTTAACATGTTAGATGTTTAATTAAACAATCTGTAGCTACAAAAAAAAAAATCACATGTGTCAAATTATAGTATTTTATGGAAAATCTGATCACCCACTTTGGAAATCCATAACATACTAATAAAGGACAATGTCAATAAGAGTTACAGATGTAAATGCATGCAATACAGTGGACATTTTACAGTGGAAAATGGGTGTAAGCTAAACTCAATCAGTGGATTTTGGATCATTTTTTGTAAAAAAAAAAAGTGAATGTGAAGCCCTATTTAAGTGAATTCAACATATTAAACTTGGTAAATAAGACAAAATGCAAATAATAAGAAAAATGTAAAAATATACTTGACTGACAAAAAGAAAAGTGGGGTGGTGACAGTAAACAAGACCAAAACCTATCAGTAAGATTAGTTTAATTCTGTAGAATTGCAGAACTACAGTTTCTGTCATATGTAAAGCAAAACGTTCACTGTTATATAATGCTAAAATTGTAATACTAAGTAGCAAAGCAAGCTATTTTAGTCTTTGACCCCACCTTATTTTATCTGTAGCAGGGCTAGTCTTTTCTTGATCAGTCCTACAGTCGAAGGATACATTTTGAACAGAGCACGCTAACAGCTCACAAGCCAGGTTCAGAAATGCACCCGACTTCACTTTGCACTTTGATTCTCAGATTCCCAGGCGCTGTGTGATGCTGCTGACACCCCTGAAATAACAGGAGAGCATTGACGACAGCAATACTTGATGTAGAGGAAATATTTTTTTTCCCACTTTTCTTATTTTGTATGCAAAAACTACTGGGTCATTTCTTCTGATGTTTATTTTATTACAAAGATTGATTACTTTGAGTTGGGTGTCCAAAATTTCAGGAGCCTAGTTTGGGCTGTGGAAATGTAATGGTATGCTCTACATGCATGTCTCTAAACGGCATAGCCAATATATTTTCCTGTTCCTACACAATCTCATGGGTTCATGGTACTTTTTTATGGATCATTATACGAGAGAAAGAGGATAATGCTCATGTTGTTGAAAAACAGCAGCATCTAGGTCCGTGTCCTCTGCTTCCTCTTCCTAGTCTTCTTTCAACTAGTTGTTTAATTGTCCTTGTTTCACAATACTGAGCTGTCTGCTGCCAGTCTCGAGAGAGCACATCAGATCAGTGTACCAGTCTCCATCCATCCCTGCAAAACAATGACATGCAAGCACAGCATATTTATAGTGTGCATAGATGTCTCAATGTCTCTGTTTTTAAACACATGCATTACTTTAGCTAAGGACCTAGTCTGTACAGAAAAGTGCTTTCAAAAACAAACATATCACTTTGCAAGTATCATCTCAAGAAGTGATGGGAAGTGAAAGCAGCTCAGGCTGCACTAAGAATAGTAAATGAACTGGATTTATCAACTAAATAAATATGAGATGAGAACATCTGCCAAACAAAGTGAAAGGATTTCTGACCTGTTGTCATGAAAGACAATCCTGAGCAAAAATATTCTTCCTCTGATAGTGATAATGAAAGATTAAAGAAATGTAACAATATCATTTGGACCTTGCTAAGAGAAATAATAGTAGTAGTAATACCCCACTGGGCAATGACCACTGTACTACCACTGGTAGTAGTGCTAAACTCGATAAGTCACTAGTCAGCTTGTGTTATTACCGGAGCTGAACAATGTATTGTTTCACCATCAACACTGGGAGATAAGCATGTACAACAGGCACACTGCAAATAATGTAATGTGCTGTACAAACAGTAACAAGAAACCAGTATTCACTACAACATCACAAGTCAGTAAATACAAACAGTCTAGTGAATCCGATCTGACTCCACGTTGGTTTACTATAACTGCTCCTCTGTGATGCACACATGCTTTTAAGAGCACAAGTAATGCATCTCACACTTTTTACAACTTTCATGACCAACTTGAAACAACTACAGTACGAAATGTAAAAGTTAAGAATGATTTCAGACTTTAAAAAAAAGTCCTGGACAGACTTAAATAATGTAACATAAATGTGTCTTACCTGTAGGTTTGAATAGTTTTCTTGGTCGTCTTTTATCAACACGCATCCTCCATCTATGGTGGTTAACTCTCCCTCCATAGTGACAGATGCATACCATGCATGGGTTTTAACAGATGAAGCCGACAGTAATTTTTATATCTGGTTCATCTCTTCTTTTTTTTTTTTTTAAAGTCAGGTTTCTGGGAATGCGCCCAGGGGGAAAAACGCAAGAAATTGTTCACTTTCAAGAGTGAACACTGATTTATTGCTTCAGACTTAAAGAGAATGTTGCAATTCAGGTCTCGCCTCAATCAGTAATGTCACTGCAGGCGTCTTCCATCAGCGGTAAACACCTGGTGTGACATCACTGGTTGGGCTGTGCAGCGCAACGGTAGGTTGGACCTCCTGACCTTTGGCCCACATTAAGGACGGGGAACTGGTACAGTTAGATTGATACCAATGCCACTTATTACAAAATGGCAACATATTTTGTGACATCCAGAAAATATAGGTGTATTTTTTTTTTTATTGGAATAATATGGCCCCAGACTGGAATTTATAAACAGAATCATTAACAATGAAATCTTAACACCCAACCCTGTGGTGCTAAATGACCAGTTGTCAGCCAAAAATTTATTTAATTGGCATTGGCATTGGCACAGGCTTAGTTAGTGTTAATTTCAGACCGTAGTAGAGCTTTGCTGAAGGTGTCTTTGCCCAGGATACATATATAAATAAAAAGGCGTGGTGTACAAGTCTGTGCTTAAAGTCACTGCATAGTGAAAAAGCATTGCAGTTGTTTTTCAAATGTCTTACCGATCTAACCATAAAAAACAGCTTCACTTTTTCTATTTTGCATGGCTCGCCTTCCAACTAGTTTATTCCTAGTTGTTTCTTTTCTTTCTCTCCCTCACCCTTAAGTCATAAAAACATGTCACACTTAGTCAGTTGCTCCCTGAACATTACGAATGCAATAAACAACCTATCAAATCCCATTTTCTGCCACTGCTGCCTCTACCAGCCATGTGCACTGGCCCAGTCTGACATCCTCCACTACAGGAGCAGCAGAGAGAAGTCAGCTCAGATCAGCTGCAATGTGATTGGCTAACACGCTGTCAGCAGACATCAGAAGATGAACGTTATTGGCCAGTTGTCAGTACCAGGGTAAGGACAGCTCCTACACATTGCCCCCATGCCGTGTCTCTCTCTCCCTCTCCCTCTCCCTCTCCTCCACACACACACACACACACACACACACACACACACACACACACACACACACAGATTTAATTTAGATGAATAAGAAAAAACTATTCTAAGACGGGCTTCAAGAGCTCTATTGAATCCAGACTTGTGTTAAAAATAAGATGCTAAATGTGACTCTTTTCTACGGGCGGTTCAAACAGATGACAGAAGAAGCGAGATGAATGCCTCCTGCTCACCGTGTGCTGCTTTTTTACAAACCCGGTGCCACTGAATGCCTAATGAAGCCTATGCAAACTTTACGCATGACTCATTTTGTTTTGCTTAGAAGCATTTCTTGCTCAACCTGGCATGGACCTGGGCAGTAATGACCCTTCAGCGAGTTCACGCGATGGGTAGTTGGACTGGACCTGCACATGACCTACAAATGCATCAATGCACACAATCACAAAGCAATATTTACTTAACCCCAGTAGCAACAGTGGAATATCAGTCTAGGGTTGTGTTGCAGTTTGTGTAAAGCTTTGCAGACGCAGCCCTCGGCAAACAATGACACATATTAAATTCATTTTCACCTCCAGTCACAGTCTTTCCATGGAGGTGTAATGACATACACTGCAAGTGCTTGTCGTTGCTTGTTTGGTAATTAATCAGTTGTAAGTTAAACGGTGTTCTCAATTGCTTCTCTGGCCAAAAACCTCCATCATCTTTAGAGAGGAAATTATCAATTAGTACTCTGATAGAAAATTTTGATGATTGCTTAATCATTTCAACATTTCTTAGGCGAAAACGTCAAATATTCTCTGATTCATGTGTCTCTAATGTGTGGATTTGCTACTTCTCTCTTGTTATAAATAGAAAATGTTGGGGTTTGGGCTGTTGGTTGGACAAAACGAGTTGTTTGGAGATGCCACTTTTGAGCCAGGAGGCTTGTGATGACCACTTGACTATAATCCCTGATTATTTTATAGTCTAAATCATTAATTAAAAAAATAACCAACAATGATAATGAAACTAGTTGCGGCTCTTAACACATTAATAACATAAATCACTCTTAATAGAGGTTTGAGGGAACTTAAAGAACAGGCAGTATGTTGCATTTTCATTCTGATATCTATAGTCTTTCATAAATGCTCGTACAGTAGCCTACTTTAAGTGAAATAACAGTAAAACCACCTCTTTTTTTTTTTTTTTTTTTAAACCCATGGGCTCCAGTTAACCAGCCTCGGGCCAGGCTCGGTTCAATACGCTACCGGGCCAGTGACTGTGTTTCATGGATGATGCAGCTGGAGCCATGGATGACCTTTACAACAGTATCGCGGTAACTGATGCCGGGAGAATAAATCACAGGAAACCAAGGACAAATTCTGCCCGTTAACAGATGCCTAACGCAACAGTGGGATGTGTGTGCGGTGAAGTGTGGCGGGGGCATCGCAGTCGCACGCGGCTGAAGGCCTGCGTTGAATTTGGTCATTTTCTGAAGCACAGGCAGCAATTTGCGGATGATGACAGAGAGTCTGATATAATAGGATACGGGGAGCGTTAATCCCGGTGAGCGAGGCTGATGCATGTGCGCCGTTCCAGCCTCCAAATGACATTTAGCACGTAGACCGGGCGCTCAATGTGAAGTGAAAATGGTCTACTGTAAGGTGGGATTAAAAAACGAGGCGCTAACGTTACATGGTAGCGTAGCCTTACCAGTTCTCCTGCATCCATCGGATGGCTTCGTCCTCGTTGAACTGTCTCTCGAATTCGTACTCTTGCAGGGCTAGCACCGACATGCTCACTGGGTTTCTGTTCACGCTGCTGAAACAAGACGATACTCGGCCGTGGCGTTTTCTATTTAGTCTGTTTTCTCTCAACCCTTGACTCGCATCGCTCGTGCTGCTGTCAGGACCTCGCGGTTGTGCGCGAGCAGCTCCTCGGCAGTCGCGGCACCTTCCTTTTTTACCGGCTGACCGAGCCTACGCCCTCTTCCTCAGGAAGATGACCTCCAGGTCCTAACGCCGCCGGGTTTCTTCTCCTCTGTCATTGTTTGAAATTCAGTTCAGATTTATTCAGCTGAGTGTCATTCAATGAACAAAGTGACATATTTTATATTATATTCAAAACTGTACAATGAACCCAAATAGTGAAATCAGTCCTTTAATTTTGTACATATTCCCTCAAGCTTTATATTTGTATATAGTGGCTCCTTTTTATTGTCTCTCTTTTTAATCGTTTTATCTTTATTTATATTTTTCTACACTTGATTGTGATTATTATGCACCAATGTATCATGGAATCTTTTTGACCAAAGTTTTCTTGTCCCTGGCACTTGGCCATTGTTCTATTGCAGAATTTACTTTACTTTATATTTACTTCTTCACATAAGTGAACCAATCAGAATCAGAAATACTTTAATAATCCCAAGGGGAAATTATTTTTGTTACAAACTCCAGATATACATACAACATATATTAAACAAACAACATATTTTAAGAATAAAATATAAATATATATAACTATATAAAAGATCAAATGTACAGTAATAATGTGCAAAAAGTGCAAAAAATGATTGTCTATGTTTGAGTCAGATTACAGAGAGTGGGTGTCTGACTCTCTGAGGGTGGCGTTGTAAAGTTTAATGACCACGGGCAGGAATGATTTCCTGTGGCGCTCTGTGGTGCATCTGGGTGAGAGGAGTCTTCTGCTGAAGGTGCTCCTCTGCTGGGCCAGTGTGTCGTAGAGAGGGTGAGAGACATTGTTCAAGATGGACTGAAGCCTGGACAGCATCCACCTCTCTGACATGGTCGTCAGGGTGTCCAGCTCCTCCCCTATGACATCACTGGCCCTCTTGATCAGTTTATTTAGTCTGTTGGTGTCTGCGACCTTCAGCCCACTGCCCCAGCATGTGACAGCAAAGAAGATTGCACTGGCCGCAACAGACTAATAAAACATCCTCAGCATCGTCCGGCGGATGTTAAAGGACCTCAGCCTCCTTAGGAAAAAGAGTCGGCTTTGGCCCTTTTTGTAGACCGCCTCGGTCCTATATGTCCTATATGCTGAGTTATAGGACTATATTTTTTATATTATAAGTTTTTCTTCCACAAAGAAGGCCTCCTGTGAAGCTTTGGCGACCCCCAGGTTGAGAACCACTGGTTTAGTCTGTAAAATGTTTGACAGTGGTAAAACTCACCAATCACAATTTCACAAAACCCAGTGTGACATAAAATAATTGCTTGTTTTGTTCGATCAACGGTCCTGAAAGTTTTTCTGTAATTAATCATACAAGACAGAGAAATCCAGAAAATATTCACGTTTCAGGAGCTGTAACCATTGAATTTGAATTCTAATTATTAACTAATCAATTGTCAAACTAGTTAAACTAATCATTTCAGCTCTAATTCAGTCTGTAAAATTAATTCTATTTCACTTCAGCAGTGGTGTAACAAGTGTTCACATTCTTAACTTGTGTATGAGTACTTCATTAGAAGTAAAAGTCCTGCATTCAAAGCACAGACACACAGTGCATGAACATTATAATGCATGCACTAAGTATCAAAAGGACCCTGTCAGTGTTATATAGTAATGCATTGATTATAACAGATGCCTTCATGTGTAGTGTGATGTTGTACCTGGTCAAGATAGAGATATTTTTGATTTCTTTATTTACTGTTTGGTACTTTAATCTTTAACAATGTATCATACGCTTAAACAGAGGAAAGACGCATTTGACAGCTGAAAGGTTTGACAGTTCAGTTCTAATACAAGTCCCTCTAGAGTTTTATATAAAATCTGTTGAGAAAAAAGAGGTGGCAAACTGGAACTACTGTGGCACAATGGTTTGGACAGGATTTGGAGGTCAAGCATGAACAAATATAGACATTCAAATGCAGTTTCAACCAACACAGAACTTAAGAAGGGCGACATGACTACTGTTATCAGATTATATAATGAAATTCAGTATTGGACAGACATCACTTAATGGATATTCGTCTACGCATTTTAAAACTATTGGAATGCTTGTTTATATGTTTTGCATTCTTGTTTTAGTAATCTCAATATCAAGCCACACTGGTTTTTCCAGTTTTTCAGAAATAGACAACAGATGATGTCAGTTTTACATTATTTGTATAGGAATAGCAGACAATGTTGCACTTTTTTGCACAATCATTAGTTTTTGCCAACATTTTGAAATACTGTGGTAATGACTGCTTCATCAGTCTATCAAGGTAGGAGCGATTTCTTCATCTGGCAAAAAGCCAAACAGGTAGAGTGAGTTTTTGGCACCACCTATGCTGAACCTTCACCTAGATACAGGCAACTTGTCCGCAGGCAAACACACACACATACATGTGCACAAACATGCACACTACACCTCCAGATTTGGTTTAAGGTTGTGCGATTTCAACACTGATATGCAGACTGTGGCAAACTCACCTTTGCAGGTTTGGGCTGATGACATCGCCTGATGATATTGCAACTTGACTTGGACTTTCAGCACATTTACCTTTGATCTCATGCAAAAGCACTGGGCCAAAAATCACCTGATTTAAACATGGAAACATAGTGTTGCAGGTAATAGATGAATAGCTTTTTTAAATCAGACAGACAGGTGACCTTATCGTCAGCATTGTCATTGCACAAATCATCTATAACAGTTTGTCATTGCTCATTGTCTCTACTACAAGCAATATGCTGACATCTCTCTATAAAAGCTTATGAATTTAACAAGGATGGAAGAACCACAGTACTGTGGAGAAACTGAGGTTTTTTCTCAGAAGAACTCAGTGTGTCAAAGTTTTCTAGTTCAACAGTGTGCTTTTTAGCTTATCAGGCCAGAGCATCAGCACAGCAATAAATCATCTTTGCACTCATATTTGAAGGTGGGTCACCAAATCTACACTGCACAACAAAATACCAAAATACCAAAGTAGTGAGAACAATAAAAAAATGTCAGACACAGGGACTAATCCACAAACCTGTTACTCTGGTACATGCTGAACAGCTCTCCACTCTCCAAGACACCACAATACTTCATGTTATATGACAGTGTAAAGTAAAATCCCATCCACTGCAGTGTTGTCTTAGGTCATGAATAAATCACCACCCAGATATTTTACTTAAGTAAAAGTAGAAATACCACAGTGTAAAAATACTCCATTACAAGTAAAAGTCCTGCATTCAAAATTACCATTAACATATACTCAAAGTAAAACTGCTTGCTAACAAAATTACCTACACATCTCTTATAATACATTATATCTGAGTTGAGTATGCTTTGCATTATTGATGTGATTATCATATATGTGTAGGAACTGGAGTTTATGCATATTGGTATTGCACTATGGTCTTCTGAGTCAATGAAGAAGTTTGCATCACAATGTCAAACAAAAGGTGAGACTGGGCAGAAGAGGGGCTGACGACAAATCTGACTTGTGTAAGATAGGTTCATCAAAAAGCCAAATGCCATTTGACTTTAATGGAACTAATTCCAAAGTCTTGCCATGCCAATATTTGTCAATGAACATTCACTTTTATTTCATCATTATGGATATGTTGAAAGTCAAAGGGAGACTGGTTGGCATGTGTTCAGAGAGAGTGAACAGGCAAATAAACTGGACCCATAAACATAAGCGTCTGAACACTGAACACACCATGTTTGCTGAAGGTGCAAAACTGGGACAGTGTTTTCAAGTGGGACACTTTTCTGCAATACTTATAATTGAATTCAATAATAAACTATATGAATTACTTGGTGTGTAATGTAGATAATGTAGGCAGTACACATCTGATTGAGGATGTTAAAATGTAACATTCATTTTTTAAAATATATCTATATTTCATTATCTAATCTAATGAGATAGAATGTGGAGTAGGAATTGTGATTGTAATGCGACCAATTAGTAAAAAATGTATTTACTGAAATGCAATTTTCCTAATTTATGAAAATGTGACAAAAGACATCATTAGTTTTGTGATCATATTACTTGTTAAAATAGTCAGTGGCGATCAATTGAACGTAGTATAATTGTGGGAAATGTTGTTTAAAAAATATAATTAACAATTTAGTAGTTACAGTAGACATATTGAATTATAATGAATTGATATTATCATGATAATTTAATTTATATATTTTTTCTTTTCTTTTGTTTTTCAATTGTGTACTTAGTACTGACATTTTATTGTAACAGCTAAATAATTCAGTGTTTTTAATGACAATCGTCTTTATGAACCTGTAATAATGCTGAAAGGTTAATAAACTACAAACTAATAAACTATAATAAACTTTTTCAGTTTTTAGTTCAGCAAACAAACTGTCCTAACTAAACCTGAAAAACCTGAATGAAGAAAAAATGTGGTCTTGTTGGGTTTTGAAGTCTATAACCTTTAAACAATGATCAGTTCTCTTTACACAAACATGTCAACAAAGATTGTAGTCTGACATTTCAGAAAAACATGACTGGTAACATTTGTAACATTACAGACATGCTACGGTATATTTTGTTAACAGGTAAAGTGATTTATTGTGAATTACCCTTACATACAATAAAGTGAACTACAGATAGTTCAGGTAGGCCAGTGGTTCCCAACCTTTTTTCTTAAGGGACCCTTTTTCTATCATTTACAACTGACAACCCCTGCCTAATGACATTTTATAGTATTTTATATTATATATTTAAAACTGTACAATTAGCCCAAACAGTGAA